GTGGTGGAGTGGGGAAGGGTTTATGGCCTCTTGCCTTGCTGTTAATCCCACATTTCTGATTGAAATCTTGCTTGCTGTAGTCTGTGATTTTTTTTTTTTGGTATGTACTTCTGGGCTTTTTCTCTTCCTCCTTCAGGTTTGGCTCCTTCCAGTCTGTGTCCCTACGTGAAACCTGAGCAACATTAAGGGCTTTCAGTGCTTTTCTTGGTTTTTTCCTTAAAGACTTGGTAAATCTGCATGTCTTGTTTCATCGCTTCCTGTTTTTACAGTGCAAAGCTATGAATAACCCCACTTTTCACAGTTTCAGATTTCTTTAGGCATAACAGTTCTAGTTTGTTAGGTTTTATTAAACAATGTAGGTCAGGGACTTTTTGATTTGAAATTTTGCTGTGTAGGCCCTAAAATTGTTTTGATTCAAAGACTGACACAGTCCTGCAGGGGTCCAGCATTCTGAGCACTAGATTTTTTTTTTTTCCAAAATCACATCCTCAGGATTATTGTAGAACAACACAGTACAGAAAGCTGGCTAAATAAAGCTTTGAAAGTATGCTGCTCTATGTTTTCTGAATTGAACTCAGTAGTTTGCCAATTATTACTTTTTGTGTGTTTAATCAAATCTCTTGCCATTTGCTTCCAGGTGATTGGGATAGCTACAATCCTGCTTCATCAAATGTAATATATGAAGAACAGTCACCATTATTATCTTCATCTTCCCATTCTGCTTCCCCATCTGAAGTGTGTTATTTAGCAGTACCAGGAGATGCTTTAACCAGAGTTCAGCTGTCTGAGGAACTGGAACAAGCAGAGAACACTGTGCCTGACAAGATAAGCACTTTAACTGAAAACCTGTGTGAGAGGAAGCCTCAGTCTTCTCCTCAGAGAACAAAGAACAGATGGGAATGTCCCTCAAGTCCTGCATTTGGAATCACTAAAGGTAGTTCAGAAGCAGGGACCAGAAGGGGCAGATATGCCAGTCCAGCGAAGACAAGGGCTGCTGAAGGATACCCTCACATGGGATTCCACAGCCCCAGGAAAGGGGATCCTGAGAAGAACAATCTGTCACATAAATCTGACAGTTCCAGGAGTGAGAGTAAAACCACAGGAAAAGGGATGAAGAATAGTGACAAACAGGAGTCTTCTCATGGAAATCGAGGAAGGTCAGCAAGTCCCCAAAGGCATCTCAGCAAACCAGGAAGCACAGAAACAGTGGGAAGGATCCAAACATCCTGTTCTGTTGAGCAGTTGAAAGGTGGGAATGGTAAACCAGAAGTCACCAGGAAAGAAAGAATGAAGCAGAAGGCACCAGGAAAGACAGAAGGGTGTTCTGCAGACCAACATTACTCAGTGTTTGGTGGGAATAGCCTTCCCTTTAGGGACTCCAAGAGAAATGCCTCTGAGGATGATTTATTAACCAAGTCCAGCTCTGGAGACACAGGTTCCAGTAGATTCAAAACCTCCAGCCTTTCCAGTATCCCACTGCTTTCCATGGAGAAACAAAGAAGGGCAGAAACACAGGAAGCTCTTATGATGAACAGACACCATGGAGAGAGACACATGGAGCTGCCCAATGAAACCAAAGATGGAACTTCCCAACCTGAGAGGAATTCTCCAGTAAGGAAAACACTGATAACTCCTGGGCCGTGGAAGGTCCCCAGTGGCTGTAAGGGCTCCCCAGCAGCAGGGGTGCCTGGAAAAGGGGTGTGACTGACTGAGAGACACTGGTTTTTAGAGCATGTTTTGATCAATTTTCCAGTAAGGGTAATTTAAAACATTGTTTTTTCTCACACAGTTGTCTTTTTTTTTTTTTTTTTTTCCTCAGAAACTGGTTAGAGGGAGGAAAGTATTTCATTTGTTCTTAAATTATCTAAGCTCCATGAAGGACTTTCAGATTGCTTCAGTGAAACCCTTCCATGAGCTGCTGTCCCCGTGTCCCTTTGCAGGCCATGTCTGCTGCTCCCAGTGTTGCACTGCTGCAGCTTCCCCGAGTATTGTGAACTCTGAACAAAGTTATTTAATGCCTGTATTGCCAATGTGATCCAGACTCACTTCCTGTTGTTGTGCCAACCTATCTACTGCATCCAGTCAATCTAACCCTTCCCACATGGATTCCAGTCAGAGACAAGGCAGGTTTGGGCTGAAGTGGGTGTTTTCTCTAGAGCAGGTTGCATGTTTACATCAGGAAACTCACGTGTTCTTGCTGGGTCAGGGAGAAAACGGCCGAGTTGGTTCTGTCAGTTCCAGGGCAGCAAATGAGTTGCTGGTGCTGCTCAGCTCATATGTTTCCTGGAATTTTAATACCTAATACAAAACCCTGTAGCTAAATATGGTATTTAACGCAATTCTGTAATTTTGCTTTTTCTGACACAGCAGAATCACTTTAGTTCCTTGATTCACAGGGATTTGGGTTGCAAACATCTGTGAGAGGAAAGAAAATTCTGGATTCTGTTAAATAACACAATTCCTTTGGTTTCACGCATGGCACCATGACACCCTCAGCCTCAGTGTGGAGCTCATACTGAAGTCCCATCTTTAATTATTTAATGCTAGTTAGGAATTGGGGTTTTTTCCCCTCTGTAGGGGTAAGAACTGACTGTAGGACAGACTCAGCTACCAGAACAGATTTTCAGTGAAGTTCTTGCCTGTATATTTTAGAACTCTCCCCTATTTACTGTGCATGTGTGATCAAGAAGCGTTGATGACAAACAGGATACAGGAGACACACCATCTATGGTTTGGGCTGGCAGAGATGTTTTAAAGAGGGATGTTACCACCAGAACCTACTGACACATCAGTCCTATAGCTGTAAGAACAATAGAAATGGAAGTGGTTTATTTTATTCACACTTTTAGTGATTATTTCCAGACATCTGGGATTTTTAATGACTGCAGAAAAGTGGTGAAAGGATGCCCTTGGTCCAGTTTGCTGGAGAAAGAAGAGTAAATCATTGAGCTTTACTTACTTAAAATACAAACATGATTTGCTCTTTGCAAGCGAATATCTCATTTTGGCTTTGAAACGTTAAATGTTTTTGAAGGCTAACAAAGCACAGTGAGGCAGTTCTGAGTGGAATTCTTCACAAATACAGCTGACTGCTCAAACAGCTTTTAAACAAAGACTTGGGAATTCAGTAGGCTTTAAAGCAGCTCTGAACTGTGCTCACCTGCTCAATACCAGGTGAGCCACTGACAACCAGGGTTGCTGTGTAGCATAACACGTATGAATACTCCCTGGGTAGAATATGACTGTGAAATATTTAATACTCTGAAGTAGCCTGTGTAGATATTGCCCTGTGTTCTTGCCCAGAGGTTGGTTGATGTTGAGCTGTGTGCACTCAGCCTGACCACTGAGTACAGTGAAAAATCCAGTGCTTTAATTCCAGATGAATTAGCCCCACTGAAATGATCTCCCTGCCATCAACTCCTCTCTATTTTTCTATATGTTCATGTGACCTGATAATGTCTTAACTGTGTGTGATTTCTCCTTCCATAGACCTTGTATCTGTACTTCCCGCATCAAACTTAGCCATGTGGCCTTGGAATGCTACACAATGTATGGATGTACTGGGTGTAAATGTTTATATATTGTACAGCACCTTTATACAGACTTCTGAGGTTCTGACTAGAGAGAGACCTGTAAATTGCTCATTATTTTTTATATAGATATTAAAAACAAATTCCAGTTCATGGCCTGTTGATTCTGCATTGTCTAAACCAGGTTCTTGCTTGGCTTTCAGGGGTGTGATGCAGGTTTTACCCACAAACATGCTACTCTTCTGGAAAATTAATGCAGTTTATTATTAGAAGTCCTTGATTCCCCCCATTCAAAAAACAAATGTTCAGAAAAGACAGTATAAAAATCATTAAGTCCTGTCGAAACAGTACAGTGATGAAGTACTCATCCGGTAGGTTTATTTGTACATTTTGCTATATAAAATTGTAATCTCCTTTTGCATCTTACAACTTTTCCTTGTATAGAAAATAGCTGTAAACAATTTAGTACCAGCTGCAAGCTCTTGTATGGCTTTAGTGCTTGATGTCCCACAGCAGTTCCTACTGGTTTCAGTGCTAGCTGCCAGGATTCAGCCCCATTAATCCAGTTTTTCTGTACATGGCATGGGATAACATGGTGAGGCCAGTGCATTCCAGATATTGTAGAACAATAAAGCGGAAGGAAAACTTCTGATACATACAGGGAAAATCTGTTTAAAAATTGAAATTATAAGTTTCCTTTTTTTTTTTTCCCCCTTCTGCCCATAGTGCTGGTTTTCTTCTCCAGTGTCTGGCGGACATGCCTAGTTCTGTCATTAGGGTTAGGGTTACGGTTAGGGCTAGGATTCTCCCCCCATTAGGGTGAGAGTTAGGGTTGGGGTTGGGTTAGGGGTTAAGGTTAGGGTTGGGGTTTTTAAGGGCTTGAATTGAGGGGGAAAATCCGCCTTTTTCCATCATATGAGAAATTTAAAGTGGGCAAGCATCTGTTTATCTAATATTTTGGAGGACTAAATTAAAGGACAGAACCTATTTATTTGCCATTGTGTCAATTTAACTGGAGGTAACTGCCCCATTTCCTCATTTTAAGGGGTTCACTTGAAGGAAGCTCTCCGTTTTTCAGCATTTTACGGCTTTAAATCTGCATTTCAGGGTGCTTCTACCTCTGCCCCGGTACCAAATATCTTGTATAGGAGTAAGTCTGGCACACACATAAACCTAACGCCACTTAAGAGTCTATTATTTTTCTTATTTTTATCTATATCACCCTAATTAGAGATCCCAATGAGAGTAACACTGTTCATATCATTACTATTCTTCTCTACCTAACCCTAAATAGGGTTATGGTTAGGATTAGGGTTTAGCGTTAGATTTAGGGTTTAGGTTTAAGATTAGATTTAGGGGAAGGATTTAGGTTTAGGGTTAGGCCTAGGGGTCAGGGTTAGGGTTTAGGCCCCTGAACATGAACGCTGGCCCCTTTCCCTATGCAACAAAACTCACCAGCCCAGGTTCCTGATGAGAGTTTGCAGGAGGCGTTTGGCACTCCAAGGCCTACCAGATGTAGGTTACGGAACACGGAGCGCTCCGGGGAATACGCGGCTCCGTGCGGCGCTCCGGCCGGGAGCCCGCGGCCCCTGCCCTGGCTGCGGCCGGTCCCCTCGGGGCACTGCGGGGGTAGATGGGAAGTCCTCCCTGCTAGGCCGGGCCGGGTCCTCCACGGCCCCGGGCTGCTCCCGCTCAGCCCGCCCCTTCCTGCGGGAGCGGCGGCGGTTCCGGGGCGGGCCTGGGCCGGGTTCGGATCGGGCATGGCCGGGAAGCGGAGCGCCGAGGTCGGGGAGCGGAGCGGGGAACCTGCGGCCAAGCGCGCCTGTGGCCCGCGGGACGAGGAGTTCAATGGTGCCCGCTTCAAGGCGCTGCTGCGGGACCCCGCGGCCGCCGCCAAGGGTGAGGGGCTCTGCAGGACGGGAAAGGCGCGCGCTGAGGCGGTCGGTCCGGGCTGAGGCGGCCGGTCCGGGCTGAGGCGGCTGTGCCGGGCTGAGGCGGCTGTGTCGGGCTGAGGCTGCTGACCCGGGCTGAGGCGGCCGGTCCGGGATGAGGCGGCTGTGCCGGGCTGAGGCGGCTGCCCGGGCTGAGGCGGCCGGTCCGGGCTGAGGCGGCCGGCCCGGGCTGAGGCGGCTGTGTCGGGCTGAGGCTGCTGACCCGGGCTGAGGCGGCCGGTCCGGGATGAGGCGGCTGTGCCGGGCTGAGGCGGCTGCCCGGGCTGAGGCGGCCGGTCCGGGCTGAGGCGGCTGTGCCGGGCTGAGGCGGCTGTGTCGGGCTGAGGCTGCTGACCCGGGCTGAGGCGGCCGGTCCGGGATGAGGCGGCTGTGCCGGGCTGAGGCGGCTGCCCGGGCTGAGGCGGCCGGTCCGGGCTGAGGCGGCTGTGCCGGGCTGAGGCGGCTGTGTCGGGCTGAGGCTGCTGACCCGGGCTGAGGCGGCCGGTCCGGGATGAGGCGGCTGTGCCGGGCTGAGGCGGCTGCCCGGGCTGAGGCGGCCGGTCCGGGCTGAGGCGGCTGTGCCGGGCTGAGGCGGCTGTGTCGGGCTGAGGCTGCTGACCCGGGCTGAGGCGGCCGGTCCGGGATGAGGCGGCTGTGCCGGGCTGAGGCGGCTGCCCGGGCTGAGGCGGCCGGTCCGGGCTGAGGCGGCTGTGCCGGGCTGAGGCGGCTGTGTCGGGCTGAGGCTGCTGACCCGGGCTGAGGCGGCCGGTCCGGGATGAGGCGGCTGTGCCGGGCTGAGGCGGCTGCCCGGGCTGAGGCGGCCGGTCCGGGCTGAGGCGGCTGTGCCGGGCTGAGGCGGCTGTGTCGGGCTGAGGCTGCTGACCCGGGCTGAGGCGGCCGGTCCGGGATGAGGCGGCTGTGCCGGGCTGAGGCGGCTGCCCGGGCTGAGGCGGCCGGTCCGGGCTGAGGCGGCTGTGCCGGGCTGAGGCGGCTGTGTCGGGCTGAGGCTGCTGACCCGGGCTGAGGCGGCCGGTCCGGGATGAGGCGGCTGTGCCGGGCTGAGGCGGCTGCCCGGGCTGAGGCGGCCGGAATGACACATGCAACCAATAGTCCTGTCCAAATGAAGCTGTTAAGGTTCTTTAAGTGTTATCAAAAGGCCTTTTAGGAAATAAGGGCATCAACAGAAGCAGTTAAGAAAGCAAAACAAAAGTAGTCTAGTGAAAGTAAATGTTTTTAGATATCTGCTTGATACATCAGTATTTCTAGGAAGCCACTGGTACTGAAGTTGACTTAATTTTTCTTATTTTAGTTGGACACAATTTATCCTCATCAGAATATGAAGAATGAACAAAGAGTTCAATAACTTTTCACTGTGAATGTTGGTGCAGCGTGGCTTACAATGTAGTATTGCTTTCACTGTAGCATTGTTTACAATGCTTACAATGTTACCGCTTACAATGTAGTATTGTATTGTGTGGCTTTTTTAACCATCGCTTGCTGTTCTTTGCCTTTCAGTATCATTTTTGTCTCTGTAATGTTCAGTGTCAGCCTTTCCTCAATATCCCATTGCTAGGAGGGGCTGATGTTTGTAATGGGCACAATCCCAGTGCTGTATGGATTCTGAGTTCTTCTGGCAGGAATTAATTGCAAGATTGGAACAGCCCTGATGTTTTTCTCCAGCACATTTAATTTTTCGTTATTCACTTAGGAGAAATAGTCTCTTGAAACGTTGATTCCTTGAAACTACGTGCTTTCAGAAGTGGTCTTTTCAAAGAGGAAGCATTCATTTGGGAGAGAATCTAGAAGTTAATGTCACTTTCATATGTGGAAGCTTTCCTCTTGGAGTGGGGTTACTCTTTTTATTAATGGTGGTTATTACTGTTTGCTCAGCTAATAATTTCAAGTCTTAGCTGATATTGTCAATATTAACAAAATTTTTTTATCCTACAGATGCTGTTAATCTTTCAAGCTCTAGAAGCTATTTTACTGAGGACAGCCAGCGACCTCTCACATTTTTCTGTTGTGGGAATGAACATTGTCAAAAAGTTGATTCATTCCTATATGAAACTGGTCTATGCTGCTTTGTATTCTGAAAATCACAGGTAAGTCTTCTTGTGCTCTGGTGGAGAATCTCTGTCAATTGATCAGGAGGGACTGTACTAGATGTTACAAAATTCATCTTGACTTATTGCTAATAATCCATCTTTATTTAATAATCCTTTTCCACTTGCCATAAAATAATTGCCTGTGGGAATCTTTGCAAAGTGGAAACTGACACATCAAACAGTCCAGTCCTGTAGGATGCTTTCCTGAAGCTGTAGTTTTCATCAGTTGGGGCTGTCCTAGTGAGAGCTAACGTGGGTGGTACCTTGAGTCCTGTTATTTTAATGCTGCTTGATTTGTGGGTGAAATGTATTGCGTGGAACAGGGCTGGGCAGTCTTCCTGTGATGGCAAAAAGAGCTGCTTTTGAGTGCTTTATTTCCCTGTGTTTTTTGGAGTCAAGTTTCCATGTTTATAATGGATTTTTCTCTTTCAGAATGGCTTTTCTTCTGTAATTTTTTCAGTCTCTTAAGTCTGAGGTCATTTTACGTTGTTCAATAATTGTGTTATCTAGTCTGGACCAAAAAATTGCTCATGTGAATAGGGGAGAGAAGTTGCAAATGTCAAACATTTCAGTACAAACCTGGGAGCAAGAGGAAAGTAGAGAAAAAAACAGACTGAAATTGGCTTGCCCAAGGCCAGTGACTCATCTTTCAGTCTTTGAGCAAAAGTGAAAAAGCTTTCTGTGTTTTCCCAGTTCATAGATACAATTGTGCTTCCTGCACTGCACAGTTGATCTTATTGCAGCAGGCATTTTAACGGGACAAAGAATCTCAAGTAGGTATACTGGAAACAAACTTTGAAGCTGTGCAAGATCTGCACTTTTGATTAAGTGTTTAAAGATTGCGGGTTCTGGAGAAATCCTTCTAGAACCTGCACGGAGGAGGCTGCAGATTTCTGGTGGGAGATGCTCTGCATTTTCTGTGCAACCTCTTTGATGTGCAGAGGTATTTTCTTTACTGTATGTCTAGATGGGATCTCTGCTTGAATCATGTGGCTTTTTACAGATTGTCCATGACCGAAACATGATGGACAGGTTACAAATCTGTTCATAGTAGTGGCTGTTCAGACAATGGAGGAGGTTTGCAGTCTTGTGCGTAGTGGCCCTGATATATTCCTGTTGAAATAAATGGCAAACCTTTATGAATTTGGGAGTTCATAGAGTCATGGAATAATTAAGGGTTGTCTAGTCCAACTCCACTGCCATGAACAAGTATCTTCGAGTTGTTCATTTCATCACTTTCTCCCTTTTAAACTACTTTATAAAGGGAATATCCAGCCTCACATTGCAGCTTAATTTTGGGGAAGAATATAAAAAGGCGTTTCCTTCTCCTTCCTTCCCTCGCTCCTCTTTCCCAGTTGCTGTTATTACTGCCTAAAATAATTACTTTGTTTAACTTCTCTTCTATTTTCTCTTTAAGTTTTAATCTCTTGGTTTGGCGGTTTGTATAACCATCATCCTGGAAATAGCCTGCAGGTTTACCTCTGCTTTGTTTTTTCAGGATGAGCCGAGGGTGCCTCACACTGCTGTCAGCGATGGTGGCTCAGGGCCCAGATTCAGCAAGGGACGTATATAGTCATTTTGATTTCAATAACAAGTACCTGCCTGGATTGTTGAAAAGAAGGTGTAAGCAGGTAAATAAAGGTGCTGCATGCTATGGCATGCTATGCCATGGCTCTGCCAGCTTTTTTAGCTATCTATTCAGAAAAAAGCTGTTGCCAATGTTTGCTGTATTTTCATCTGCAAGAGCTTAACTCTCACTTCCTGTGCTGTGTCAGGCTGAAGTCCTTGATTGTGCCTAACTGGACACATGAAAATGCCTTATGTGTTTCCAACAAGCTATGGAGAAATAAAACTGTACAGTTTCTGTGAACTGCCCTGCTAATGTCTAAAGCAGAGTGAAAGTGATAGTAAACTCCTGAAAACTAGTAATTTTTTTTGCAGTTTGGTCCCACTGAAATAAATGAAGTTGGAGAAGGGATATTGCCCAGTACTAATACAGAGTAACTGCATTTGAAAACGTAAACAAGAGTTCTAAATAATCTCTAGCTGGAAATCCTTAAGAAAAATATGTGAGTGAAGAGAAAAAGTCACTCCTGTTTTTCCAGAAGAAACTATTTCTTGTTCCCTCCCTTATTTGCTAAAAATAGTCAGGATTGACCCAAACCAGTGCTTTAGAACAAGAATATTTGTGTCATTCCAAATGCAAGTGTATAATAAATCCAGTATTGTTTGCAATGTTGACATATTGTTCCTGGATTTTAAAGATTACTTGCAGAGTGAATGTGTACGTTTATGTTGGGTTTGTGCCATCTGAGATGAAAATTCAGACTTTATAAAGGTATCAAGTGGAAGGCAGAAAACCAAACACATCCCTTTTTCCCTGGAACCACCTTTTATAGTTCCGGAATTGTCAGATTCCATGGATTTTGATCTCACTGCAGGAGTTGTCTGCAGTAGTACCTCCACCTTTAATTTTAAATGCTTGGGTGTAGTCTTTTGACCACAAGCTGCTTAAATACATGAGTAAGGTACAAGGAGACTAGCCTCCAAAAGGTCTTAGACTTCTACAGCTTTCAGTGAAATTATGTCACAGCTGGCTATCAGAGGCGAGTTTTTAACACAAAAATACCAGGCCCAAAGCTTACAGCAAAATCTTGTTTGTTTCTTTTTATTTCTTCTTTCAACCCTTTCATGAGTCCCTACTGCCTTAGCTTTTGCTTGCTTAGAATCTTCTTTCAGGCTTCTTTACATGCAGCTTAACTTTTCACTGCAGGTTTAAAAAAAATTGTAAATCGTGGCAGGGCTCTGTCAGGGAGTGTAGTGGTAGGATGACGGATGACTCTTTGAAAGAGGGTGTATTTATATTAGATATTGGGAGGAGATTCTTGGCCACAAGAGTCACGATGCTGTCCAGCACAGGTTGTCCAGAGAAACAGCTGCCTCGTCCCTGGAAGTGTCCAAGGCCAGGTTGGACAGGACTGGGAGCAGCAGGGCTTGGGATGGTGGAAGGGGTCTCTGCCCATGGCAGGGCATGGAATGAGGTGATCCTGAAGATCCCTTCCAACTCAAACCATTTTGTGATTCAATGTTCATATGCTATGGTGCTGTTACAGATAAAGCTTTCACTGCTTCCACTGTGCCTGAGTTGGTAGTTTTATATTCGCCCCTTTTTGTGGGCATTTTTGTGAACTGACCAAGCAGTGAATAAGTGAGGAAGTTCAGTGATGCAGGGTTTGGCCTGAAATGGCTGTTGGTGTTTCCTTTTTCTTTAAGTTTGTGGCCTGGTCTCATACACTGAGAATTGAAAACCACATGAACTAGTACATTTTTCTTTTTATGTAAAAGTGAGCTGTTTAATGCAAGAAGTTTTTTAGCTGAATACACTGTGGATGTATTGCATGTAAATGTATGTCTTTGGCTGCATGCAACATTTTTATAGAATTTGTTTCATGTAGCCATTTATGGTGCTTCTAGGGATAATCAGCAGTTGCAGTATCAGTTCTGCAGTTGTGTGCTAACAACATTTTTAAATTTTATATTTTTATGTTTCCAGGGGAGACCAGATGTCCGCATGGCCTATATTCAGTTTGCTCTCTCCTTTCTCATTGCTGGTGACAATGCAATCTTGGCACAGGTGCTGGAATTAAAAGGTACTTCATAATTGCTTGTTGGGTTTTTGTTTCTAAGGCACAGTCATTTATAGGTGATAATAAATATGACCTAATTAAAAATGTGAACCAGGTAGAGAGCACTAATGAGAAAGAAGCAAAATATATATTTTTAATCTTATTTTCTGAAAAGCTTTAAACTTCTTTGGTAGTGTAGTAAATAAGCCTCTTCTGCTTGAGAACAATATGCTGTCTGCTAAAACTTTGCGAAAATAAAGTTTTTGCTGACACAGATAAAAAAAACCCGTAAATCTAATATAAAACTTAGAGGTCATAGAGTCAATAAACAAAAAAATAATAAAAATTGATGGCCTCCAGCCTTGCTCATGAGACAGTAACAGTAGATGTGTTGTGTTAATTTTCTTTTGAAAAGAAAATTTTGCCTTTCTGCCCTGTGAATTGTGACCCTTGGAAAAGCTATGAGACAATTCAGAAGGGATCTAGGAATACTGTTTAAAAAAAGCCCTTAAGCCACTAGCTGGCAGCAAGTAATGGCGGGGGACTGAGAACTGGCTGTAATTATTTACTTCTCTTGCTCCTGCTATCCCAGGGCTGCTGATTTCCTTTAGGTGCTGGCAGTTGTTTAGTTCTTTCGGGCTGGGGATTGCACACCTCAGCCCAGTCAGTACAGATGGCTTTCATTTCCCTGTAAGAGCCCTAAGTTCTCTATAAACTAAAATTGTCTAACTTTGACATGCACAGGTGAGCCAAAAGGTGATGCATGCATTTGGAGATGGAACCTCCAAACATTTTGAGAATCACTCAGTGAAACAATTACAAGTGCTTCAATGGGAGGAATATGAAATTACTTGAATTTTAATATGGCATTTTGAGGTCCAAAATGTATTTGAAGTTGAAAGATGCTATAGCAGTGTTAATCTGCAAGTTGGCAAATTGGCCAGTCAAGATGAGAGTAGGTTTGGCAGCATCACTTGCTCATAACCATAGTCACAGACACATCATCCTTCTGAACTCTGATTGCTGCCTTTTGGTTCATCCTGGAATATAACAGCAAGATAAGTAATGTGACATGGAAGAGGAATGGGTATGAAATCCCTGAGGTATTTTAGTATGAAAAGAGCTTTCACATTTTGACTTAACATTTGAAATGTCCTCTTAGATTTCATTCCAACTATTCTTCGCTCTGAAATAAAGGAAGACAGAGTTTCTACTGTCAATCTTCTACTTTCCACGCTGAGAACTAAGGTATGATGCACCCTTGACATGCGTTGTGTCATGTTTTCTATTTTCCTCACTGCTGAAAACGGTTCTGCAGTGATTTCTCACACAATGTTCAGTTCTTAGGACTGCTGGCAGTGTGCTGCTGCAGTGTGTGTGACTGATAATGGGTGTTGGAGGTTGGTAACTTGGCTATATTACTGCCTCAGGATTGAAAACAGGGAAGCAGGAATTGCTGAAAGGTGTGAGAGTTGGTTTAGTGGGGCTGCCTTTCCTGTGCTCTGTCACCTTCTGAGCAGGGCCCCGCCTCTTTCGTAGGGTGCTTTTGTTGCTTGTAGAGCAGCTACACCTGAGATATATTTTATTTCTTTAAAAATGTTTTTAGCTCCAGAATCTATGACTTTTTAATATCTGCTCTGAGCTGTAGTAGCAATGTTGTGTAGCTGTTGCTTGAACAGTTGAGAGAATGAAGAAAAAAATAGTTTCAAATTTGGAATGTAGCCATAAGAGCCTGCTTCAGACTCGGGCTTTTCTCAACTTGTTGAGATTGGTGGGAGAAAGGCGGCACTCAATATGAGTGATCAGCAAATCTCAAAAGTTTATTGAATAGATCCACATATTTATATTAGTGTTAATAAGGCTAATGCATATTGCAAAAAGCGTGCTCATTATTTGTTAGTTTCTTTTCAGCTAACTACACCTACTTCTACATTCTTGTGGTTATTCTGTTTGGGCTTTTCTTATCCTTTCTTCACTTTTCTAGCTAACGAACCTCTCCCCCATGCAGCTGTTGCAGCAAGGGCATAGTGACCTTGCCAGGTTTGGACACTGACTGCTGACTCCTGTCCTCGTCTCCTTGCTTAACTAATGGTATTATTCCAGCATGACCTTTGTCAGCTAGCTAACTGTCCACAAAATCCTCCACATCAACTGACCAGTTAAAGCCAAAAATGTTCTTTCATTTTGCTGTTGCAGTAACATGAAAAACAAGGATAATAAAAAACCTATCATTTAAATGTAAAATAAACCTCCTTGGAACTTGGTTTTTCAAATGAAGCTTTTCCTCTTTGGGAATCATACATCATGAGCTGTTGCATTATTGGTGGACCCCAGCACGCTGTATGACTCAGCTTAGCAAGAAAAATGAGAATTAAAACAACGCCAGCAGTAAAGCACAGCAGAAGAACTTTTGAGAAACTTTCTCCACTGTATTCCCTGTCATTGAAACTTCATTTGTAGTAAGCTTTACTATGTCTACACCTGGGTTCCCCTGGTTCTGCTCTGTGGCCGTGATGCTCTAAACGTGATCTGTGCTCTTCAGTTGAATGTGAACATCTGTCCTGTCCATGATGTGCAGGTTTTGGAGAGGTTAGCATGGGGTCAGGGTGGAGCAGGAGCATGTGAGAGAAGTGTTGACAGGAGAGGCAGAGCCTTTCTTCTGCTGTGGTCAGGAGAGCCAGCTCTGTGTGTACTAGAAGAATGATGTGTGTTGCCATTTTGCCATGATTTTGTACAGCTTGCAATAAATAGAAGAGTTTGCATTTTTCTCATTTTCAGGTGGTTCATAACAAAAATATCAGCAAGACACAGAAGGTGCGTTTTTTCACTGCAGAAGTGTTGCTTCACATCGCTTCACTGTACCGTTGGAATGGGATTACTGATGTCAGCCCTGAGGATTTAAAGGTCTGGCCATTTATTTCTTTGTTACTCCTAGTCCTTGTGCTGCCTTTATTTCCCCTCCTCTTGCAGCCCACAGCTTTTGAAACAGCTCCCAGTTGCTCTGAGCTTGATGAGCTCAAGAAGAGGAATCTACTGAGCCTATTTAAAAATAAAACCCAAACTTCTGCTGCTTCTCACTGGATTTTGGCTACAGATTTTTCACCTTTGTTTGTGCCCTCTTGTATTTCTCTACCACATGCTTATGACCTTGCCACTCCCATCCTGGTGTACTGTAAACACCCTTTGGAGGAGATATGTTTCTAGTAGTTATCTGCTTGGAGCTGTGCAAATCTCCAACCCCATTCATAAGCATGCATTTCAGTTATGAATAATTTTGAGTTCTTGCAGTTCCTGGCAGTCCCTATTAGTCATATGATTCATGATTTCCCAGCCACAGTTGTCAAGAGCCTTCTGATCCATAGGCATCTTGAGTTGTTCCGGATCTAGAAGGTTAATGGAATCGTAGAATCACAGAATGGTTTCAGTTAGAAGGGACCTTCAAGTCCTGAAGCTTCTCTTTTTAATGTGAACAAAAGCCAAACTTTGTTTTAGTATTTCTCTTAAGAGGAGCCGTATAAAATGTAGAGTGAAGCTGATATCTGTGATGCCAAATCTCATATGCCTTTTTTACTCATTTTTGGTTTTTATAGGTGGCTCAAGGTTCTGAGGAGGTGGGAAAAGCAATGGTACGAGAACTTGTGCATAGTTTCTTAATGGACCTCTGCTGCTCTCTGAAACATGGCATAACGTTCCATGATCCAAGTCTTGGAACTTCTGGCAAGTAAGTCATTGGGCAGCTGGGATTGTACATGGATTATTTTGCTAGAAGCAAAAGAGACCTCACTAGTTATCCTGTTTGCCCTGAAATATGTGGTGTTAATTCACTGTTTGTCACGCAGAAAATGTGGAGGTAAATTATTTTTTTACTTCTTTGAGTATAAACTCAGAAATTCTGCCAGGAGGGTGAGAGATCTTACCTCCAGTTAACACTTAGAGAAGCTGCAGAGTTCACATCCTATATAAAGTATCAAAATAAGGATTTCTTATTCAAAATTTTTTTTTTTTTTTTTGTCTTCAACAGGGGAGGAAATGTGGTACTTCTGCACTTCCTGCTTGGTTTAAAAACTGCAACAGAAGATGAAATGGTTGCTGATCTCATGGTGAATATTCTCAAAGTGTGCCCAGATTTATTGAACAGATACTTCAAGGAGACCCAGTATTCCTTTGTTCCTAGAGTGAAGTCTGCTTGGATGGACAACATGAAGTTACTTAAGAAGGTAAGATTGTGGGTGATGGTAAAAACCCATGCTCAGAGCAGGAGGCTCTATAAACATTTAAACTTAACTGGTAAAGAAGGAATTGGTCTAAGAAACAGAGGAAAACATCGTATCAGGGACATATTTTTTGAGATGCAGCAACATCAAAGCTCAACTAGAAAAGCCTTTTGCCCTTTGTGAGTGTTCCACTGCCTCTTTGTTTAGCTTAAAGTGGGCAAGTAGGATCTGGAATCTCTTGAAATGGGATGGCCTTTAGCAGGGATGCTGGTTGCATACAGAGGGTCCATTTAGTTGAGTAAGAGTCTGGAGGATGCTCTGTAACATTTTTGCATAAAAATTGCCATTTAATGTTGCCATTACTTCCGACAAGTAAAAATCTTTCCATAAAATGCTCCCCAGAAGAAGCTGACATCTCCGGAACTGTATCAGTGGGGCTTAAATTTTTGTTTCCTTTCTTTCAGATCTATGAGGCTCAACCAGAGATCTCCAATTCTTTTAAGATTTCAGAATTTATTCCTCTTCCCAGATTGCTTTCTGTGGTGATGGTAACAACAGTCCCTGCAGTGTGCAACAGAACAATGTTCACCCAAGGGTTAAATGTAAGAGCAGTCTGGAAGCCTTTTCAATAAAATGTTCTTTCCAGTACTTACATTAGGCAGAAGTGGAAGTACAGTGCTTGATTTCAGGTCATTCTCTGATTGCTGACAAGGTCAATTCCAACCTTTGTGAAGAGCAGCAAATCTTCCTGTTGGGTGTTTGAGGAAGTATTTATCACAGGAGCTTTGTCTTACAAAGGAGAGCTGTTGCAATTTACCCTTTTTGCTTTTAGGTTTTACCAGACATGACTAGTGTAGTGGCTGTCTGGCAGTCCCTTCTGAAACAAGAGAGAAAACACAACGGCAGCCCAGCAGAGAAGGAAGGTGATGTCTCCACTGTGAAGGCAGTGACCGAGACAGAAGTTGCTGAACAGCATGGTAGGCAAAGCAGATGGAGTTAAGAAACCCTCTTCCCACCCTTAACTTCAGCAGAATCCAGATCTCACTTGTGTATTTACTGCTCACCTTTTCTTTGTTCAGTTCTTCAGGCCATTACAATTGCCTGAGTTCAACATATAGGCTGCCGCTGCTACTCGAAGATTAAGCAGTTTGACTTGGCTGTGCCAGGATCACAGAATGGTTAGGCTGGAAGGGATCTCTGTAAATCATCTTGCCTTATACCTCTGCCTAAACCTGGTTACCCAGGTCCGCATTCACACAGCTTTTGAACATCTCCAAGGATGGAGACTCCAGAACCCTTTTCGGTAACCTGTGTGGGTGCTCAAGTCAAAAAGTGTTTCCTGATGCTTGGAAGTGTTCCTGTTTTTTTGTGCCCAGTGCCTCTGCTCCTGCCACCAGCTGCTTCTGGGAGGAGCTTGGCACCATTGTCTTTGCACTCACTCAGGTGCTCATAAGCATTGATAAGATGCCCCTGAGCCTTCTCTTCAGTTTGAACAGTCCCAGCTGTCCCAGCCATTTCTCACAGGAGAGATGTTCCAGTCCCTTCACCATTTTTGTGAGCCTTTCTTGGACTCTTCCCCAGTGTCTCCATTTTCTGGGGAGTCCAGACCTGAACGCAAAGCTCCTGGTTTGGCTTCCCCAGTGCTGAGAGGAAGGAAGGAGCAGCTCTCTGACATCAGGACACCAGAGCCTTCCCTGGCAACGTGCTCTCTGCTTGGGTGGCCCCCAGAATGTACTGGTGAATGGGGCTGTTCCTTCTCAGGTGCAGGGCTCTGCTGTTCCTCTTGTTGAACTCAGCCCTCCTGCCCTTAACCTTTCCATGCTAGTAGCTGTTTCACAGCCACAAAATAAAACTGACAGGGAGACTGATATGCCTGAAAAATAATTTTTTTGAGAGATTTTTGTTTGTCCAAGTTATTTTACCAGGAGGTCTTTTTTTTAGCAGTTAGTTACTGTGGCTGCACAAATGCTTGTATTGCTATAACACAGGGGTGGAATTATGAGTGTTGGAAGAGGGGGAGAGGGATGGAGTGAAGGCCTCAGTTTTCCTCTCTCAAATACAGCATCCCTCCCGAAGGGCTTCCTTCCACAGTTCCATTGCAGGGAATGAGGAGTCTCAGGATTGTCTGTATCTGGGCCAACTGCCTGTGAAGTTTTCCTTGTGGGCTAGAGGTTAATCTGCAGCCAGTTTTACCCTTCACAGGGCATTTTCCACAGAGAGATTTCCTGCAGCAAAAGGCTTTTCAGTGGCTGTCCTTCTGTGCCTCCCTTTGGGCAGCAAAATGTTGTCGGCACTGACAGTGCAAGGCTTGGAAAGCAGTGAAGCAGCTAATTTCTGTAGGGCTGTAGCTGTAGTTACTCAGCATTCTGAGGTAGTAATGCTGTGTCACTTACTCCCAGTTCACTTTTTACAGCTTTATTTGCGTTGTGGTCACTAGAGAGTTCTTTTCTAATGGGAGCTGAGACTCGGGCAAACAGAGTTTATCCATGGCATTCATCCAGTTCTTCCTAACTCAGTGAGGGAGACCAAGTAAATAAGAAAAAATCAGGTGTTAAATATTTTTGCCCATATACTTTGATTGCTTTCATTAATGACTGGATGAAAAGTAGCTTTTATGGCTCCTCATGTTACAACTGAAACCTGAGATGGCTTTTCCTAGGAAGTAAACAGTTGCCTTAAGTGCTATTGGTGTTTCTCTCATACTGGTATTTGTTGTCTGCCTCTTGCCAGGAGCTTACACTGAGAAAGTGTTACTCGGAAAAGGGAAGAAGGAAGTTTTTGACTGAAATAATAAATTTGCATCAAACTGTAGTGCACTGTCTCCTGCACTTCACCAGCCAAACCTACCTGACACTAGCTCAAAGTAGTGTCCCCAGAAATCAGCAGCATGACCATATCTTTTCCTTCACTTTGTCCTGTTGTTCAGCCTTAAACAGCAGCGGGGACGGGTGGGATTCTTACAGCGAGTATTCAGGTCCTCAGGTTGTGTTTTATATGTGTGAGCACTTCTGGGTCTAATTAGAAATGGCAGCTCTCAATCTAAGCACTGAATAAGCAGATTTAGTTTTGAAAGTATTCATACAGGAATGCTGGGGAATGAAACTGGAGATTCCACAGGTGTTTTTCTCATTCTTCTTGTTGGGAAGATAGCACGTCATTGCCTAGGCAAATCTCCTGGAAATACAGTTATTAATTCTCATGCTGGGTAATGGAAGTGTGACACTGCACTCTTGCTATGAAAGAAGAAACTAATTACGGAAACATTTTGTTCAGGTTCCGATGATGCTGAGACGCTGCTTCTGAAAGCTGCACTGCTTCAGGTCATGTGTCTTTATCAGAAGGTTGTGCCCCACATGTTAGCACAGAGCAACTTTGATTTTAGCAAGCTGATAAAAGGTATGTGATGGGTATTTGTATTTCCTCCACTATTTTCTCTGGCTGTTTACAAAGTCCACACCAGAAGGGAATGTTTGCTTTTCTGTGGAGATAAGAATTGTTTTCTAAAAGTAGCCCGTTTTAGTTTCTCCATTGTGTTGGCATTTATTGCTTTTTCTGCAGTGTTCTGGCACTGTTAAATTCCACAGCTGCTCTGCCACACCCAGCTGTCAGTACTACTTTGCACTCCAGTCTTCCTGTCTGTGTGTCATATTCTTGGAAGTGTTTGGTCTTCATGGGCTTTGAATTCTAATCTTTCTGAGGAAGGTTTATCTTCAGCTCTGAAAGAAGTTTCTTCTAGCCCTGGTCAAGAATCCAATCAGTAATTATTTCCAAACTCTTATTAGGTGCAATGGTAAAGAGTTTTTGAACAGGATAATTCACAGAAATTTCAGGATGGGGATGAAGAACAGCACCTCTCAGTCTGCCAGTGTCCTCTGAAAAATCTTGTAATAGAGATTTGGCCTTGGTAGAGTCCAATAGGGACAGAGCCCTGAAGGGCAGAGAGGCCTTAGAATGCTGGATGATATCCAAGGACCACCTCCAAGCTGTGAGTTCTGAGGAGGAGGAAATTGGGGAAAAATGCCAGGAGCCTTCCAAAGATGGATAAGGAGCTGAAGAGCAAAATCACAGGAGAAAAAAAAGAAGCTTTCAGGAGGTAGAAGGGAGGACAGGTGGCTTGGGAGGAATATGGGAAAATTGTATGGGAAGCTAGAGATAGAGTTCGGAAAGCTAAGGCTCAGTTAGAACTGAGTCTGGCCAGGGATGTCAGAGACAACAGGAAGCACTTCCATAGGTGTATTGCCAACAAAAGAAGGCCCAGGGATGATGTGGGCCCTCTCCAGAAGGAAAAGGGACACCTGACATCCCTGGACATGAGGAAGGCTGAGGTTGTCAATGACTTCTGCAGCTCAGCCTTCAATGGCAGCTTCAGCCAAGCTTCCCAGGTTGGGAAAGGCAATTGCCAGGACTGGGAGAGTGAAGACCCTGAGCCCGCTGTCAGAGAGGAACAGGTTCAAGCCCATCTGAGGAACCTAAACGTGCTCAAGTCCATAGGATCTGATGAGATCCATCCACAGGTCCTGAGGGAGCTGACAGAGGAAGAGGCTAATCCACTACTCATCATATTTGAGAATTTGTGGCAGTCTGGTGAAGTTCCCACTGACTGGAAAAGGGGGATATACAGCCCTCATTTTTACAAAGGAAAAAGTGGAAGGCCCAAGGAACTACAGATGAGTCAGTCTCACTTCTGTGCTGGGCAAGATCATGGAGCAGATTCTCCTAGAAATTCTGCTAAAGCACATGTAAAGCACAGAGGTGGTTGGTGACAACCAGCATGACTTCACTTAGGGCAAATCATGCCTTACAGATTTGGGAAGCTCCTCCAGTACTGCTTGTGGTACAGTCCATGCGACCATGTACAGCTGAGACTGAGGGAGTAAGCAAAGGGTTGATTGGGCATCACCACTCTCTGTGGGTCACCCAGGTCGGGCAGCTGTCTGTGTGTTAGGCAGGGCCTGGCATGTGTAAGGATGGGAGTTACATAAATGCCTTAATTAACCTGTAAGAGAAAAAGGGACTTTGAACAAAATCCCTCTCTAAATCACCTCTCATTCATGAGGTTTTTCCTCCCTCTATCAAAGCATGTTTAATTGATTTTTGTGCTTGGTGACTTACCACATCACATACCCTTTATTTCTTGCACTGCTCTGCTTACTTCAAACTGGACAAAAGGCAGGACATGTTTTTGTGAGGCAGAGATCTCTTTGTGGGTCTCTTTGGTACGTTATGAAATAATAAAGTTAAACAGACTGGAAAATAAAGTGTCATTCTCAAACAAATGTAATGAAGTGAGCCTGAGTATTGATTTTGAAGAGAGATAATGATGGTGTAAAAAAATCATGAGACTTTGTTTCCTCAGATGTGTCAGTGTCAGAGTTCTGTTCCTCCTTCTGATCCTCATGATGGAAACATGGACACCAAAGGCACCATGTTTCTCTGCCTTGTAGCAGTATGTTCTTTAAATAGCTTGTGGGGTTTAATCATTTGGTCTTACTCTTGGATTGCCTTAGTGGTGACTGTTTAAAATGTTTTGTTGTTTCTCTAATGTGGCCACAAAGATCCTACACAGGTTCTGAGAGACTCAAGCTGTGTCTTGATGTCCCCATGAAACTTACCTACAGGTGAGGTGTGAGCAGGTCAGGTTTTGATGGCACTGCAGGAGCTCCCTGACCTGTGACCAGAATAAGGGAGCTTGTGCCTGTGCTGGTGATAACAGTGGTGCAGGGAGGTACACGAGTGTCAAGTTCCTTTGGGGCAAATATTGTCATGGTGTGAGCATTACGATTTCCTGTTGACTTTAAGTTCTGTGTTTTCCTGTGCAACCTTTGTACTGCCTGTAGGTCACAGCTTTTCAGGGTTGCTGAGACTGATAAAAGAGATTTTATATTCCCGTGCACAACCAATGGTTTCTGTTGGGCTCAGGTGATGGCGTCTCCCTCTGAGGGCTGGATTCTCACCTTGGGTTGGCCAGTCTTAGTTGCAGTACGTCTGGGGATCCCATGATATGAAGATCTTTGAATTTCCCGCTTGTCTCGCAGTTGTGTTTTAAACCCTGAAACATGAATATTCTGAGATTTCAGGAAGATGGACCAAACTGAAGTTGGTTTCTTGCTTTCACACCTCAGGTATAGTCACTGAAAAGGGCCTGCGGGAGGAGGTCCCTCCTCTTCTGCAGCACCATATCCTGAAAGTGGCTTTGGAACTTCCCGCAAATAAATTTGCGTGGTTCAAAGTACAGGTAAGCGGCTAATGCAAATTGATGTTTCCTTGGTCTGTTGTCCTCAAATCTTTCCATCTGGCATTGCCTAGTTTTAAATTAGCCCAGTCACTTTAGGAGGTGACCCTATTGTAAAGCCAACAGGAATTACATTCTTAGCAGTGGTGAAAGATCCCTTCTGATCTGAAAGGTTTTTTACAAGGACAATATTTTTTACCTCCATGGTGAGCACAGGAGAAGGTTCCAGTAGCTCTTTTTGTCTCTGGAGAGGAGCACAAGTGACAATGTGCTGGTTTCCCGTTGTCTGGAAAGCCTGAGGTTGCAGACCAGGGAAATGAGCCACTGATGGGAGCCATCCCACCCCTTCCCAAGGAAGATTCCAACATTTTTTAATGCTCCCCATAATTAGTGGAAACCATCAAGGCCCCAGCTCTCTCTTTTACTGCAGGCTTTTAAAATAAGAGCTCTGTCAAGAGTTTGCTTGTCGTGTCAGGAGAAAGGAGTGGACCAGGCTTTGAGGGGAAGCAGAGACACCCATGGAGTGTTGTAACAGGGATAGATGTGGAATGATTGGGCAGTAAAATATGATTGATGAGGGAGGTGCTTTGTCTTGGGTCCTTGTAGTAGTTGGGGTTTCTGTTACTACTGTCTTCTTCCACTTTCCAGGAGAGCATTTTACAAGTGAGTACAATGGTCCTGGCTCATTAAATGGAAAGTAGTGTAAATGATCCCATTTGTTTCTGGCCTTGGGACTTTTGGGCAGGTCTATAAAATAACATATATACCTTACATGTCAGTCTCAGTGCAGCATAGTCCTGTACAGTGTTGCTGTAGCAGACAAATTTTAATATATTTTTCTTGTAGGACATCTCTGAGACAGAGAAGATATCTGGTGAAAAATCAGTCTTCTATTTACTGATGAAAATGTTTGTTACAAGTACCCATACTCATCTGAAAATTTCCACCAAAAAGTTAATCATCAAGGTAAGCGTTTGAATTGAAATACCAGGATATTCACTGTATCACACTGGTCTGAAATTTCAGGACTGTAAAATTTTTTCTTAAAGCAGATACCTTTACTGCATGGTTGTGTGGTCAACAGTCTCCTTTCCCGTTTCTTTTGACTGCTGTTGGAATTTTCTGTCAGATAATTGGCTATTAACAAAATATTTTGTAGAAATAAATGCTGTGAACTAACATCCCTGCAGCAGTTGATGAAAGAGTAAGGAAAATGTCTTTAGAGTAAGGAAAATGTCTTTAATGTTTGCCCGCCCCGCCCCCCCCTCTTAGGCTGAATTACTTCTGGCACTGTCATAAATTAATATAATTTTTGCCTGAAAAGGTCTTGACATTGATCCAGAAGAGATTATTTTTGAGGTTTATTTTTTATCATTGTTTATTTAATCTGTACTTCATCACTCCAGCCTTAGATGGTTTGCTCTGGTCCTGAAGGATAGTCCTCTCTGCTACTGTCTGATACAAACTTTGATGCCAGGAGTACTTTCTGTCCTAAAAATTAATTAAAATCTCCTTATGTACATTTAAATTAGTTATTTGACTTTTCAGAAAAACTACAACTCCACAAGACAGCAGAGGCTGTTGCTTCTAGCAGCTTATTAAAAGAGGGCATCTTTTAGTTACCTGAGTAGGGATAGAGATTTACATTAGGAATAAATACAACCAAACTGTCCTGCCAAGAGAAAATCCAGGAAGCTGTACTGGCCTTGGACAGGGCTCTTCATCCAGTGTCCTGCAGTATTCGTGGCACACAAATTTGTACCCAGCTTTGTGACTGAATCTTTGCATTTAGCTCAAATCAGAGAGTACCATTTTAATATTCAGTCCCCCTGACCAAAGTAGCAGTGGTTGAATTGGGGTTTTGTTGCCCTTGACCCTTGCAAGGGTTTAAAGGCAGGTTCTCTTGGTCTCCCAGTAATGAATGTCTGAACCAAAACCTGCTCAAAATGTGCTGTTTTTCTGGTGGTTTTTCTTTTGCCAGGTGGGAACATGGGCTGCCTTACTTGTTCTTGTGTCCACTTTCCACTTCAGTCCATTGCATTTTCTCTGAAGGGAGTGCAGGAACAGGGAACTTAGGGCAGTTATGTCAGCAGAAAGGCTACTAAGAATAGATGGTAAGGACTTATTTTTCTACGCAGTGCCATGTAACTGAAGGCTTGTTTTTGGATTTCACGTTCTGTTCCTGCCTGTTTCTGTGAGAGTTGCAAGTGCATTTCTATTTCAAGACTCTGCCAAAAATAGTCAATTATATTAAAATGAATCCTTTTTCCTTCATTTTTTCTTTATTTAAATGAATTATCCTGTCAGATTAATGTAAGCAGCAGTTATTTTTAGAGTTGCTGGTGTTGTGCACAGAGTAAATGTAGAACAAATGTGTTGTGATGGCTTGCTTTTATTTTGTATGTGGAGAGGAGCAAAGGCACAGATTGATCCTATGTATTGTGGATGCCAGAGTCAGGAAGCTGAGCAAGGTTTCCTCTCTTGTTGGTGGATAGGGGCAGGGAGTTTAACCATGGTGTCACTTTGATTCCTTCCTCTCCTCTTCTCCCTCCTCCTTTCTTGCTTGTAGAGCTGGAGCACAGGGTCACTAAGTTGCTAGATTGGGTGCCTGAGGTCAGGGCCTGAATTTAGAGAGTAGGAAAGTGGGAAAAATTTCTAGATATGTCAAGGCCTGTCTCTTGGTTGTGGTACATCTGGGTCTACCTCACCACAACTTGCACTTCTCTCTGGACCTTGCTGTGGTCACAACCCACTGCTCATTTACGTGACTGTTTATCCGTCTGCCTAAATGTTTTATGTGCAAGTAGCCTGATTTAGGTTTAATCTGGCAGTGATTTTCCTTTATGTTAGATCAGTAGTTTTCTAAATGTCCCCTACAGGGTATTTTGAGGCAGGTTTTTTTTTCTGCCTGTGATGATATAAAGATGTACAACCCTCTGAAAGCAGTATAACCTGCTTTCCAGAAATTATAGAAGTAAGACTTTTATTGTCCACTATGGAGTTGAACTCCCCCTAGTGAGTGGGAGTAAGGCCTCTTGAACTTGAGGGGGTGAGGAGAGTGACAGATCCTTCTTTTCATCAACCTGCTTATCTTCTTTTCTTTCCCAAAAGAAGGAATCATGAAGTTACTATGCAAAAAGATCTGTATCTCTTGGGGTTTTGTACTTTAGGTGTTTTGAGGTTTTATTTACACACCTCCCCCTTTGTTTCCTGGACAGGTTTTGCGTGACAGTGGAGTGTTTGAGTACACATGGAAGGAACTTTCAATTTGGCTGGAACACTTGGATAATACAAAAGAAGACCAGAAGGAAGCAGTGATTCAGTTTTTGGAAAGGGTAACAGTGTTCAAATTAGCTGGATAAACAGTGCGAAGAACAGTGTTAGTGGAAACTAGAGATTTTGTTGAGAAACCTGTCAAATACCAGTGAGTTAATTCTGAGAAAAGCATTGTTTAGGATTCTTTATACAAAGGTGTCATCATTCTTGTCTTCAGTGGGAGGGACAGCAAAATGATTTGTGGGAAAATTAAATCCAAAAAGATCAGTTGTTATGACAGCATTGTTGGTATGTGTTGTATGTGTGGATAGCTTTTATCTCCTCTTTAGGTGCCAAAATTATCAGACCTCAGTAAAATGTGATCTTTTAGAAGGAAGGCTGACACTTCCTGTTTACTCTTCAGGATGTTGGATGCCCAGTGATTCATTTCCAGTGCGGTCTTCCCAGGGACTCAGTCTGTGGTAGCAATCTAGATGCCAAATTGCAGTGGACATTTATCTTTTCCATCAGTGTCTCTGTAGAGCAGGAATCGTAGATGGAATCCTGCAGAAGTAATATGGAACTTGTCCTCCTAAAACCTGCCCAGCTTCCAACTGCTTCTAGCACATGGAGCCAGGAATACAATGTTGCTTCAGTCTGAACGTGGAACAGGTACAGATTTTTTTTGGTTTTATGTGACTTTTCTACTGGAGGAGTGAGAGTGCCATCATTTTTATCCATTTTTAATAATCTCTTACCATTTATCATTTTTTACCTTGAGAAATTTTATTATCTGCCCTGCAAGCAGAAGGAGGTGCAGATTCATGGTGTTTCATGCTCAAGAGGGGCATTGAAGTTCTGTAGGTGCTTCTGCCCTTTTTCCCTGACCCGAAGAACCTACTGTGGCACTGGATTCTGTATTTACCACTTTGCTAAAGAGAGCGTATGAGAGAGGAAGCAATACCTTTCTGGAGGATGGTGTTCAGGCAAAATTGAGAGACCTGGCTTCCTGGCTACCACCTGATCAGGTTTTGTTGGGAGTAAAGCACGTGCTGCTATACCTGAAATCCACAGTGGAGAACTTCAGCAGTGTAAGAGCAATATTGTAAAAATATTGTGGTTATATTTGGTTTATTTTAAGGTACAAGGTACAAATGACTTGGCTGTTAAAATTTAGGTTCCAGTTCTATAGCTCTTTTTTCTCTACTTGGCTCTGAGTCTACACAGCACCATGCAAAACTGCACCTAATTTGTAAACAAATGTCAGTTCTTCTGATTATTGAAGAGTGATGGATTTACTTTGCATGAGTTACCTTACTCATGGATGTGAGTGCAAATAAAACTCAAGATTTTAATCCAGCTCTTGAATCTCCCTGAGAAGCCTTTCTAAAGAGTAAAATTCACTAGCCTGTGTAACTCCAAATGTCACAGTAGAAATGAAAATCTGTCAGTATTTATTTGGCAGCCGGAGACTTCTCTTATCAGGTTTCTACATAAGGAAGTGGTTCCTTCCCCAAGGAGAGGTTGTAATCTAAGTAATTCTTAGTTAACTCCTATTCCTGTTGGATAATTACCCTTCTGCTCCCATTCTCCTCTTTTCTTGACTTCCAAGATGCCTTTATTTCCATAGGTTGGTAAAACTGTGGGTCCTCAACTCATTGACCTCTATGTGGACATTCTGAGCATCGTGTTGTGCCGTGGCAATCAAATAAAGCTGGATCAGCAACAGAAGCAGGAAGAGCATCAGGCTGAGTCAGATCTCTTTATGGATGAGGAGTCTCTGATGACAGAAGTGCCTTCAAATGACAAGGTATCAAATCCCTTCATACAGAGGCACCTATTAAATTTGAAACTAAACTACCTAAGAGATCGGAATAGTTTTGCTGAACAGACAGGTGGTGTTGACGTCTTGGAGGAGAATTTAGGAGCATAGAGCATGTGGTCCAGCAGTTGCAAAACTACTCTCTGGAGATGTGACCCAGCTGCGTCATCCACAGTCTCACCCCTGAGCTGGAACACAGTCAGGAGAGGTCCTGAAAGAGATCACCTTTGCAGAAAAAGATGTATTCCCTCAGCCCTGTGTAAAGCCTTGTTGTGAAAACTATGTACTTGAGGAGTGAAGTTTCCCCCCTCTTTCATCTGTTCTGTGAATTTGTGGAGATTAGAATGTGTTGATGAACCCTAGAATATTCAGTTTTCCTCTGGAGATGAGCTTAGACATGTTTAGAATGTTCAGTATAACAGCATAAATGTTGGGAGAATGATATTTATGTGTTTGTAATTCGTTAATATTTTTTATCTTCTGGCCAGCTAGTAGACAATTTCATGTTCAATAATTTTAATATTGTAATATTTATAATTGTAATATTTGGTTCGACACCTTTTATCCGTCTACTTTGAGGGATTTTTTTACCCCGCACTGTGATTATCCATTCATTGATACTGTTACCTCTGTTTGTTACAGACACTGGAGGATACACTCACCTTGATTTTCAGACATCCTACTCTGGAGAGGTGGTTCCTGGCCTTGGAACTGCACTCTATTCCTCAGCCTGGTTTGAACCCTGTCACTGTGAAGCTCCTGTCAGCTCACCTCAATTCCGGGGTGCTGCAGCTGCTGAAAACAGGTGCCCCCATGGTGCAGGGCGTCACAACGGATCACAGACACGTGTTGTCCAAGTATTTCGAAGCTATCACAAAAAGCGTCCTGGAAGAGCTGCAGACTGTGGGGAAGGACAGAAGCCAGGTCTATCTCAGGAAGTCTCACCAGCTGCAGGCGCTGGAGGAGCTGTACATGTACATGACTGCAGCTCAGCTGAAGGAGATCACTCTAACCATGCTGCAACTCCCTGAGATGAGCTTGACTGATCAGAAATCTGAAAAATCCCCTAAAAAAGGGAAGCAGTTAAACTTCTATGGACAAATTTTGGTGAAGCTCCTTACAGACAGCTACCAACGGCATCCCCAGCAAGGAGAATTTCTGCTATCCACAGAGCACATTAAAGCTTTGGGGATATTGATGTCATCATCAGCCAGCAAAGAACTGGAGGAAGTTTTCCTTCAGGCTCTTCAAAGTGAGCCAGTCCTTGCTCTCGCAGTTGGTGTCGAGGTTCAAGCTCACTGCCTTGCCCAGTGCTCACACACCTCCCTGGCCATCGTGGCCATGCTGATCCAGCACTCCAGGACTCATCTGCTGCAGTTTGAGCTCTGGTGTCTGAGCAGTGCCACTGGGAAGTACCTCAGGAAACGCATGGAGAGCTTTCTTCCACTCATTAATGTGTATTTGCAATGCAGAGACCAGTATGGCTTCAGCCGACCTTCCACAGGTAAAGGCACTGCTGAGCTCTGCTTGTGATTCAGGAGGCCAAATTCCCTGTTCAGGTTCTGCTGGCCTTGAGGTCTTGGAATCTTTACATAATAGATAAAGGTGATAAAACTTAGATATCTGACCTCTAAGGACTGTCTTGGAAGCACCTCTGCAGCAGTAAAGGTGAAGAGCTGTTCTGAGGGTTGGCTGTTAGACTGAAGCCAAATGCACTTACTGCTGCCCAGATTTCTCTTTAGAAGGCCTTATTTAGTGCTTAGTGCATGTGAAAATCTGTCATTGTGCTTCTCTTGGTTTAGTACAGGAGGGAAAACCTTTTGCAGTCCGTACCTATGTTCTCACAGACCTGTGTGCAATGCCACAGCCAGATGGTTTTTGCAGAACCTGAGCTTTCACTTTTACAGAGTCCAAAAATTTCTTCTAAAACAAATCTCCAGCTGTGGGCTGGCTACAGTAATGCCCTCCTAAGATGGCAGTCCAGAACTTTCCAAACCCACAGCAGCATTACATCTATGCACAAGTGTGTTAAATCTCTACCAGCAAAACAATGAGTTAGGGTTCAACTGGGTAGAACAGGATCACTTTAATTTCATTTCTCTTATTGCCCAGAAATGTTTTATCGTTTCCTTCGTCCGATTGACCGGCTGTAGCTCTACCTGCAAGGATAAGCAATGATAAAACCTTGTCAGCACCCTGGGAAGTAGAGGATGGGCAAAGAAGTGAGCCTCTGTGTAGCATTTCTCTGTAACAGACTAGCAGCTGCTGTAGCATCATTTCCTAGAACTTGAGTAGTTTGGGCCTGGATTAGAAAGTGATTTGGGATTAGTGTGTTGTTGTTTAACACCTGCAGGTGGTGGAACCTGTGCCTTCTGCTCTCCCAACAGTTGTCTCGGCTGTCACACCTGTCCTGAGGAAAGCCCTGTGGAAGGAGCTCTGTGCCGAGATTCAGGACACTGGGGCGTCACATGAGGCCTCTGTGAAACTGCAAATTCTTTCAAAGCTGTTGCCACCTTTGGAATGCAAAGGCTGCACAACCTAATGGGCTGCCTTCCTGCTGCTCTGGAGAGAGCAGGGAATGAAGAAAGGTCGGCAGTGTATGTGTTCCTCCCTCAGGGCTGTTTGTCCTGGGA